AGATACCAATTTTAAAACCCATTTGTTAAATGGAACATATAAAACAATAGACGCATCAGATATTTAATAAATTGGATATTTGATATCAGAACTGGTTAGGGGCTTTAGATCAAATGTCATTATAAAGGAAATTTTGAGTATTTTATATAAATATTTAAATTTTGTTCATGGCCAATATTAGCTTAAAATAAATTTGTATTTGGAAAAAATAGATTTGACTAGATCGACCTATATCCTAAAAAGAAGAATACCTTTTTTAAAAGAAAAAATTTTAAACGAAATATCTGATCCCTCCCGGGTCAAAAATTAAAAAAAAAGTTTAGAAGCGAATAAATTAAACAAGTAACGTATGAAAATTTCGTAAAACGATTCAAGAAAATTGATTTTGATTAATTTTTTTATTACAGTAAATCCAATATGATAAACGGTCTCATATCAAATATTTGATTTTACAAGAATTATTTTTTAGATAAATACAATTGAATTCTATTTATTATATAAACATTATTTTGCTCGATACACGTGTTTGAGTGGACATTGCTACCAATAAACAGTAAAAATCTGACCACCGGCTGAAACAACAGAAATTCGAATGAAAAGATATCTCACGACAGGAATCGAAAACTTCAATAAGATGTCTCGTTGAAGAGGCTCTTGGGTCTAGTTCCATTGTTTTAAAAATTGGTTTGGTTTGTTTATTTTACGGTATATCAACTTCAATGGGTTATTTAATGCCGACAAAATTTTTATTGCTGGTAATATTTTTTATATCTCTATCTTGCTTTCTTTTTCTCTTTTTTCCCTTCATATCTATCTATCTATCTATCTATCTATCTTGGTCTCTTGGTCTCGGGGAGCAAGGTCGATTTTACTGTTTTAAAACTAAATTTTTCATGATTTTCTCACGTATATTCATGTCTGCTCGATGCGTATCCAAATGTAAACAAATGATTTATTATATATTATAAAATGGACAAAGTCCGACAATTATTTTATAACATTTTAAATGTTTATACACATTTTTTTTTTATAGATACAAATATTTATTTAAATAAATAAATGTTTATAATAAACAGTATTAAAACATTCTATCTATCTATCTATTATCTATCTATCTATCTATCTCAGTATATATTGGTTTGATTTGGTTTGGTTTATTTTGGTTTACGGCATATCAACCTCAATGGGTTATTTAATGCCGACAAGATTTTTATTGCTTGTAATATTTTTTTATCTATCTATCTATCTATCTATCTATCTATCTATCTATCTATCTATCTATCTATCTGTCGTGGTCTCTTCATGTCTATTCCTCTCTTTTTATCCCTTCATATCTATCTATCTATCTATCTATCTATCTATCTATATATATATATATATATATATATATTGGTTTGGCTTGGTTTGTTTTAAGGCATATCAACATCAATGGGTTATTTAATGCCGAAAAGTTTTAAAATGTTGATAATATTTTTTTCCTTAAAAAATGTATTGCTTGTAACATTTTTCCTCAAAAATGTATTACTGGTATAAAAACCTATTTTTACACTTTCATGGTGTTTTCACTCCAATTTGAGGGTTAACTATTTGCCCATAGCTGGGACCCTAACAGGTGCTACCACCCTGGTTCATGGAGGACCTGGGAACACCAGCAATTAAGGTGTGGTTCCACGCTCATTAATACCTCCTGATCATAGACCTTGCTGTTGGACGTAGTTTATTGTCATACCCAGGACGGCTGATGTAGTTTATCGTCTTTCCCAGAATGTGGATGTTGTTTAACTTCTTACCCAGGACGGTGGATATAGTTTATTGTCTTACCCAGGATGGGGACGTGTTTGTGGGTTATTTGCCCATAGCTGGAACCCAAATAGATGCTATTACCCTAGGTCAGGGTGAGCCTGGGAACACCAGCAATTAAGAGGTGCTTCCACGCTCCTCAATTTGCTGTCTTAACAAAGACTGTTAAAAATTGGGAAGTCCACGTCTGTCCACTAAAATAACGTTTAAATAATGAACACAATGTTTGATTAAAATCCATTAATTACTGTTTAATTTTTTTTATGAACATTACGCATGGTAAACAAGCCATTACAAAATGTTTAAATTATCAGCAATCTACAACCGTTTAGTCAAATCAATGATTAAAAATGGACGCAAGCGAATGAGCGCTGTGGGTCTTAGGGTGGACTGTTGTCTGTAGGACGTCTAAGAAAGACCATACAGAAACACGAAAAAAGAATTTTAACAAATAAAAATGATCACGTTGCCTGAAGAAAAGTCATTTTACCCCATGCAAGGCAATAAAGCCACTAAGACACAGAGGCTTACCGACTGCGAAACAATATAAGAAAAAGAAAATCATTAAGGAGAAAAGAAAAGTAAAAATAAAAACAGGAATTAAGAAGACAAAATATAACGGTTACAATGCGTTTAAATTTTTGAAGATCAAACTTGACTGGAAAGCAAGAAGTTGGAAGAAACTTCCGGGAGAGAGAAATGCGAGACTATTACCTTAGAACTTGCGGTTCAACTAGCCATCTATATAATACTAAAATGCCTGTGACTGCGTGAGTGCTTGTGTGGTGCACCCGTCCGGCATATAATGATTTATGAATTGTTTATACAATAAGTATTTTTATTTTAACTTTTTTCAAACTTATAATTTTTAAAATTAAAATATTTTTAATGTAAAGACAGTCACAAAGAAAGCCCGATTTGCTGTTTCGTCCAATTGTTTCTAGAGTAATTATTTATATTTCAGCTTTCTTTAAGCAAACAATACTTTAAATATTTAAAAAAACAAAACATTTTGGCATATTCAAAAAGGACGTCAGGTGCATAATGATTTAAGTTAATCTGATTTAAGTGAATTAGATTTTTAAAAAAAGTTGTTTATACAGTATTATTCTTTTAATTAAAATATTTTAAAATTAAACACAGACGCAAAGAGATCCCGCTTTGCTGTTTCGTCCAGTTCTTTGTAGAGTATTTATATTTCAGATTTCTTTAAACAAAAAATATTTTAAATATTTAAAAATATTTTAAAGTTAATCTGATTTAAAAAATATTAAGTGAATAAGATTTAAAAATACGAGTTGTTTATACAGTAAGTATTTTTATTTTAACTTTCTTTAAACAGTTTTTAATTAAAATATTTTTAAGTTACACAAAGAGTGCCCGTTCCTTCCAGTTGTTTGTAGAGTAACTATTTATATTTAAGCTTTCTTTAAACAAAAAATATTTGAAATTATTAGTCTGGTTTAAAAAATATTTTAAGTGAATGAGATTTAAAAATTCGAATTGTTTATAAAGTAAGTAGTTTTATTTCAACTTTCTTCAAATAGATATTTTTTTAAAGTTGAATAAACTTTAATGTGTTATAACGTGAACCATCAGTGACCCAATGGGTCACGTGTATCTACATTCAACTACAAATAATATGACATTACTGCCAATCTAGTAATGCTCTTAAATTCACGCAGTTTAGCTAACATAGTGGAAGGATCATCAGAACAATTACCATGAAAGTATTTATAGAAAAGACAGGGAAACAGCGGTGGGAAGTGACTGAAGTCGAGATGCCAGGTCAGGACCAATAACAGTGCAGATTCTTTTTTGGATTTTATCAAGAATCTCTAGATATATAGCAGCAGCGGCAAACGATATGTGACAGTAATATTCAAAGCATGAACAAATGGTAGACTAATAAATATGCCAGATAAATTCGAGCAAGAAAAAGTATCTAGCATGACACAGTAAACTTACTTTCCTAGCAGCAGACCTAGCAATTAATTCAATATAATTTTTCCACCTCATGTTATCGGTGTACACCCTTGTATAAATTAATTGAAACAAAACGAATATTTCTATTATTATTTACTTTTTTTTTTCGTATTTTTCCAATGAAACATGACCTCGTGCACGAGTTAGTACATCGTATGTCCATTCCACGAAGCCGTGACTTGCAGATTAACCACAGATTATGTATTGGACTGAAATCAGGAGATTTTCCGGTGAGTCAATAATACTTTGATTTGCTCACTGGTAAGGCTTGTCAGAGTGTTCGTGTAGCGTTACAATTTTCGTACTGTTCCTTGGAGTAACGTCCATCGCAGACAACGGGCGTAGGACAACTAATCGATAGTCGAGACAATAGTGTGTCGGTGTGATAAAATTCTGATGCAATCACAGATGACGTAATATTTTGCAAAGCGAAATAAATTTCATCATATACCCCGGAAATAGATTCATATTACCGCACACCACTTCAAATGACCTAATCTGACGAAAAAAAAAAAAAAATAGAAATTGATAACACCCTGTCACTCCAGTGGTGAAAGAAAGGAAACTAAAGCGGTTGTTTCAATTAATTTGTACAACGGTGTATATGTCACATGTGTGTGTACTGGTGTTTAAATTATAAATTCTGTATGTTATACAACACGAATATGTGTACCTATGTATGTGTAACAAGGACCAATTACTCGTTTACTACGCATACTCGCGTACAAGGACATTTAGCCAACCCCTTTTGAACAAACCTGATCAGGTACCTTCTTGTTTGTCCGGCACCCAAGGAGTTCACATGTGGTTTATATTGCACCTATGCTGAGCGGACATTACTTACAGTCTCCACGAGAGAGAGAACCAACAGGCATGAACAGTTTGGTCAATGCAAGTATGCTCAAACACTCAGTCACGATGACATGTTACTTCGTGCTAGCATAACCATCAACGGCCAATGAACATTTCGTCTACCAAATTACACTTACAAGGCTTGGGTCAACAGTGGGATGCTTTTCAGGAATATTCCAAAAGAATCGGGCATTCGGATCTCCTTGACGAGATGACAACATCAAGAAGTCACCTTCCTGACTATCGACCCTATTGAGATTCGAACCTCGGAAAGTGAACGCGTTAAATGTTCGACCACGCGCTCATACACACGTAATGATTGGCTGTTCGTTCTCAACACTCACAGAGTCTATCTGTGGTTTTTACAGCCACATATGCTGAGCTGACCGTAGAGAGAGAGAGAGAGAGAGAGAGAGAGAGAGAGAGAGAGAGAGAGAGATAAATAAACTGGTGCAAACCGAAGATTAAACAACACCAGCCACTTACAATATTAGGTACAGTGGTCCTTCCAAAAACTAGGCAAAGTATTAAGAAACAAAAAAGTGCACTGAACACTTACGTAAAATCAGTCGACAACTCGTCCATGACTGTCGGACAATCCCCTTAAAGGTAGAAAAGAATTTTCAAGCAAGAGAAATGTGGTTCTACAGAAGGATGCTAGCGATAACACGAAACGAGAATGTGATCAACGATGACGTTTTAGAGAATATAAAAAAACGGAGCCTCACAGGATATAAACTAACTAACGAATATTTCTGACGGTAATAAAGTTTTAGCATTAGAAATATTGATGGCAAAAAATTTAAAATTTCATACAAGAAGACAAAAGTGACGGGTGAAAGGATCTGGTAAACTACCTAAAGATATTGTGCTATAGATATTATTCTATTAATGAGGAAAGAGGGCTTAGAAAATTTGATACTCGCAGGTAATATTAAAGGCATCTCGTAAGCTACCTAACGAGCTTTTGTAAATGGTTAGCAGATCAGGAATTAGGAGAGATAGCCAAAAAAAAAAAAAAAAAACAATTCTATTACACATAACGAGGAAAGAGGGCTTAGAAAATTTGATACTCGCAGGTAATATTAAAGGCAAGAGTGATGGATGAAAGCATCTCGTAAACTACCTAACTAGCTTGTGTAAATGGTTGGCAGATCAGGAATTAGGAGAAACAGCAAAATAGAAAAAAACAATTCTATTACACTTAATGAGGAAAGAGGGCTTAGAAAATTTGATACTCGCAGGTAATATTAAAGGCAAGATTGATGGAGGAAAGCATCTCGTAAACTACCTAACTAGCTTGTGTAAATGGTTGGCAGATCAGGAATTAGGAGAGACAGTTAAAAAGAAAAAAAAACATTTCTATTACACTTAATGAGGAAAGAGGGCTTAGAAAATTTGATACTAGCAGGTAATATTAAAGTCAAGAGTGATGGGGGAAAGCATCTCGTAAACTACCTAACGAGCTTGTGTAAATGATTGGTCGAACAGTGATCAGTGGAGATAGCGAAAATCAATCGTTATTAAAAGCTACAATGAAGAGGAAATTGTGGAGAGACATGATCCTTAATGTCCTAAATGGACACGGCACATTATAGAAGCTATTACTTCTGGTACTATTAATAATAAAATAATTACGAGTCATACAATTATTAGCTACATCTCAAAATCAATTTCTCCCATTTCCATTTTAAAAATTAATACACTTGATTTCTTCGAAAAGGAAAAAAAAAAGAAGAAAAAAGTCGATCCATCATTGATTATTTTAATAAAAACCAAACATAAATATTGATTATAGTATAAAACAAACACTTATTTCATTATCTGATTCAATATTTGTTACTGAAAATTGATAAGTATACCCAAGGTCATCTTCCATTGCCCGGGATAATATCATTAATTCTTCCACTTCTCCGTCTAAGATTTCTTTCTACCTGACTCAGAATTAAACAGAATATAAATAAGGGCAATTAATAAACACACACACACACACATGCACACACAAACAAACATATATATATGTGTATATATATATATATATATATATGTGTGTGTGTGTATATATATATATATATATATATATATATATATATATATATCAATGTGCAGTTCAATCTATATTACATTAATCATTCATACAAAAAGTAGATTAGTAAAGTTAATGATATAAATGGCGAAAAACATCTTCGCAAACAAATTTATTAAAGTTACATTAACCCACGAACCTCTCGATGTATGTTATGTCCTTGTTTTTAATAACTTCAAGTTGTATAAGGTCTTTTTTTTATTTTGCTAGTACTTTCAGCTGTACTTACAGCCATCCTCAGGCATGGAAATTAATTTGTTTTGTTTTATTTTTTTTTAATCGAATGTTTTTTGTTTTTTTTTTAGAAATGTGTTATTATTAATAATAATGTGTTATTTGAACGTGCAGTCACAACGCCAAGGTTGATTTTTTTTGAAAATTTAAGAGAATGCGTTTTTTTACTAATATGGTAATTTGAGAAAAAAAAATTCCCATTTCTTTTTCAGAGTAAGGTTCACCTTGTACACAGCCCGGGTGGCACTTGAGGTAGAGTGTTATGTTAAGGTGTAGTTTATAAAGTTAACTGTTAACTCTAGACTTGAACTGTTTAAGATTGTAATGATCGTGGGAACATCCTCTTGGGAGTCTGTTCCACAGAGCAGTGACTCCATGTTGGGCTTCATCTGGCTCTTGTAAAGATAGAGGAAAGTATGAAGAGTCAGGTACTTTCTAGAGCGGTACAGGGAGCCGATCCTTTTATCTGCATCGATGAATCGTATATAAGCGTTCCACTTCCTATCGTCAAGTGGAGAGAAAGTATTCTGATGTTATAATAGAACATTTTAGAATTGTTTAATTACAGCACTACATAATGTTACTATAACTTTTTGACAGCGTATTGAAAGAGCGAACAGTTTTGGGTTAGGAAAACTTTTGATTGGGACGTTCCAGAAAGGTTCCAACAATGTCATATAAACGATGCAAGTATATAACGATGTTCTCTTAGTTGGGTCCCGGAAAAACCAGATTACTACAGAACCCACACCGACAACGTCTAGCTGTGGCATTACACGCCTCAGAGTAGTTCTCGGAACTTGGATGAGTAAGGCACAAGGACACAAATAAACGAGACCTAACAATTAAACATAATTTGCCTCAAGACCACCAGCCGAAGTCGCTCAGTAAGAATACAATTTTTGCCCAAATGAATAGCCTTACCTGTAAATCATTATTAATTGATAATGCCCTATGAGGCTTGCCTATGTTTTATAACAACTGCTGCCCTTTTTGGTACTTTCGTGAAATTCATGTACATGATAAAAAATTCAGGGTGTGGAATTACTAATACATCAATTATATCAAATTTGGTTTAGGAAATGAGAAAATAGAATAAGTTGCTCTAGGTATAGTTTCTCCCAACACCGCAAGTTGCTACAGAGCCAAAACATTAGCCTAAAAACTCGAGTTAAGTTCTTAAATATCCTTATCAGATCGAGACTTTCCTATGCTGCTTTTCTAAGCGTACTTCAGATGTAGAACAAGACCGATAGTATGGGGTATCCAGTGACCATCGGACTCACTATTCAATCGTAAGTGATCTAACGAGACACCGTTTGCAAACCAAATCACGACGTCGAAGTGCCCATCGAGACATTTGTTAAATAATTCTTTAGCAGAATATTATTTTTAGTGGGGTAAGTTTATCTCATTTCCGATATCCAGAGGTTGACCTTCGCGGTCAGATGTAAGACATAATGGCAGTCGATTTTGATTGGCTGAGCTAGCGTTCGAATGATTTTTCTAGGAGTTATTTTTTTGGCTGTGAAGTGATGTAGATGTGTTTTTTTTCGTGTTCGAAAAGCTTCCCCAGTAAGGGGGAGACCCATCCCCACTCGATGCTCAGTACATGTCGACATTAATAAAAATAGATAAGTTAAAATTCTCTGTGTTGAAGTTTTTCATTGCCGAACCGAAAAGATTAGCGATCACCGGCTAAGAGAAAAAAGCGAGCTGAGAACATTCACTGCTGTAAACACAACACATTCATATAGATGTCATGCATAACGCCAAACCTGTTCAGAAATAATTAAAGTGTCACCGGTATACAACTGCTTTCCAGCGAATGAAGATTGTTGATGTTAGTGTTATGCTGTGGCGAACGAATTATTTTTTCTTCCACCAAATAAATTCGAATCGTCGTCGCCACTTGTTATGGTCCGGTTTTCTTGTATCACGGTCATAGAACCAATAAAGAAGAACTCGAACACAGGTATGGAATAACACAGATATATTATAAACAGGAATATATACAGAGAAGTAGAAGTGTTAGTATGAACAATCAGGTTTAGTAGAGAGAACAATGTAGTCTCAACCAGTATCACTATTCCAATGTCTTGCAGTAATTGTCTGAACGCGACTCTGTTTCGGACTGCCTCTGACTCGACTCTTGACTCGACTTGAACTATTGACTGACGATATTCAGTCACCCCCCCCACTGGGGCTGCATGTGGCACAAGGCCTTTTTAACGTGGGATCTCCGAGCCCGTAGGATCGGCCAAAAATATGCCCATTGAACCCGTATAAACGGGTTCAAGGTCGGTTTACCTCCCCGAAAGAGAATCCGTCCTTCGGCGTAGGCTCCTTCCGGTTCGTTCCCGCCCGAAGGCAGAGAGTTCAACCGAACAGTCGGTTCTAAAGTGAACTACTGACTGACTCTTTGCCTACTCCTGAGGCGAAGTATTTATTAAGTATGAAATAGTCCATTATTATTATTATTATGGGTAAGATCCCATAACAGTTAGTGAAGATCATTACTCAAGCATCGTAAACTGGCGCCACAGAATCACAAAATCAATAGCTGTATTATTTGATAGAAACATTGTATGAGGACTTTCAGCAGCAACAATTGTGTAACGTATATAACTTAAAGAGAGAATAATAAAGATTGTGTTCTTCCACACCACATCAAACAAAAGTCAGGGAAGGAAACTCCCATCAGTACTAAAAAGAGTAATAACAGCTACTGGACGTGTGAAATCTGTTTTCCTGAAAGTATTTTTAAGAAATATTTTATAAATTTTAACCGAAAGTAACATTAGCTGCTTGTTCATTGAATGTTTTCTTATGAAGACACGGATAATATTACCATATCAACTATTGATTTTTGTGTTGTTTTTTTTGTTTTCTTTTTTAATAGAAATTAGTTCTACATTTGAACAACGCTTAGAAAATCAGCATAGAAAAATCTCGACCTGATAAGGATATTTAAGAACATAGTTCGAGTTTTAAGGCTAATGTTTTTGTTCTGTAGCAACTTGCGGTGTTGGGAGAAACTATACCTAGAGCAGCTTATTCTATTTTCTTATTTCCTAAACCAAACGTCAACAGTTTTATATATATTTTCAGACATTTATGATGCGAT